TCTGATCTTTCACAATTAGGCGAATGTCTGATTTCAGTAAAAGAATTACTGGGACAGTGGGGGGAGCCCCCACGGTATTTCAGTAAAAGAATTAATATATGATACTAAATAGACTTGCTGTTGTTTGCAATTCTAGATCACCAATTCGTCTTTTTTGTGCAGCCCTGCTTGAAATTGTTTTGTACAAAATTGTACCGAGCAATACTGTGTTCTAACATATACATGCAAGGGTCATTTTGAAACTTATAGAGGCACCTTGTAATTGTTTTTAAAAATTAAGAAATCACTGGAGTTTCGGAGCCAAGATTCTGCATATTTTTTTTTCCTGATTTTACCCTTTATTCGATTGAAAAATATAAAAATGACACCACATTGTTTTGGGCTTGGACATGGCGCATCATATTGTTCTCTTATAGCCTATGATGCAGGCGCCCACATGTTTTTTGTGTGTCGATGCAGGTTATCCTGTGTACCAAAGCTTGCTGCAAACGTTGCGCCCAACAGATTGTACTGGTAGAACAAGTGGTACACACCCTTGTGGTACATAGAAGCGTAGTCGAGCCGCCCCTCGCCCATGCCAGGCCCCGCCACAGGGAACAGGTCGGGCACTTGACCATGACGGCGGCACGTGACTCGTACAATGGTGAGGCATCATCTCCCCGCACCGGAAGTCCCTGCTCCGGCAGACGAGTGTGGAGGCAATGACTATGGGGCCACTGACCTTGGCCGCAACGGTGACACGCCACAAGCCGCCGCTGCCTATCCACGAGGTGCAAGGGTCGTAGAAGGTGTCGCCAGGGATGTCGGACAGGTTCGGGAGGACAATGTTGTCGGCGGGCTTCACCCATTCGCGTAGGAACAGGTTGACATGGTTCTTCGGGAACAAGGCAAAGTTCTGCATCTGCACCTTGTGGATGACGATGCCGGTGTACAACAAGGCTGGGATGCCACCATGGAGAACTGTGGCGGAGCCCGATCAACAACCACTCTCGTTGAAGGAGGAGGTGGGGTCGAGACGGAATGACCCCAAAAGAGGTTGCCGGTGGCCCACGTCGCGCCCAACGGGTTGTACTGGTACAAGGCCTTGTGGTACATAGGCCCTGTCATTAACCATAGGTTCTAG